CGCCAGAGCCTGATTTCTGTTCTTATCCTGAAGCAAAGTTCTTAACCCGAGGTAATATTTCTGGGTTAGCGGAGTCTGTAACCTGAAGTGTATGTAGCCTGAAGTGTATGTAACCCGAGGTACCACTGTATTGGATTTGTGAAGAGGAAAAGATGAGGGCAACTAGCTGATCAGAGGTATAAGGGAGTTCTGCTGAATTCTCCCTCCAAAATTGTACCCACAGAAAAAAAGAAGAAAAAAAGTGGAAGTGATGGATTCTCAGTTGGGGGACACATCTCTTCTCCCCCCCCCCATGATCAAAACCACCCCACCCCCCAAAAAACGTAGCTGAAGTTCTCCCTGTGCGCTATGCTAATAAATTTCCACTTACTGAAAGGTCTGTGAGACCCCCTGGAGTTCTTTCAATCTGCCTCCTGTGGTGGCCAATCGGCTCTCTACACATCACAGCCAATCTTTTGGGCCTACACAAGTTTTGCTCTCTCAGTATTAAGACTGAAGAGGAGGTGCTGCTTCTGAGAGGCAAGGAAGTCTCTCAGGCCTCTCAGTAAGTGGTTGTTTGAGGAAAATACTTTGCTGTATTTTATTATTCTGATAAGGAGTGGGGTGAGGAAGGCTGGAGGCAAAAGGCAGGGAAATGCGAGGCCTGCCTCATACCCTCCTGGGCACAACGTGTGAGAGAGATTACATGCTCACTTCACCTTTCGTTATTATTATTCCTTGTTCCTTTACTCCTCTGAATCAGCCTGCTCTGTTTCCCTCACTTTCCTTTGCCCCCCAGAGTTACAGTTCTGGCCTTTTGTGACAGCTTCACTTTCACATTTCTCTTCTCGCAGCGCAACCCCAAGATTACATATCCGTTTGGTACTACGCTCCTGTGAGTTCAGTAGGGTTTCCTCCCAAGTAAATGGGTACAGAATGGCAGCTTTAAAGGGCAATCCTAATCACGTCTACTGAGAAGTAAGCCTGGTTGAACTTTAGGTTTGCAGCCTTAGGCACTTAATGTTGTTTTCCAGTTGTACGCCTGTATGGAGTTAGGGGGTTCTCCAGGTTACTGAGTAGGATATTAACTTGGGAGAATAAAATCTTAAATGACTTTGTTTTCAACCTCTCTTCAATTATTCTCTCGCCCCCCCCTCCAGCGCACCTCTAAATAAAGTTTTTCCCCCCTGTACTGTTCCATTTTAGGTGCAGGTTGGGAAAAAGAACACATTTGAATGATTTTTTTTAAAAAAATTAATAAACAAACTTCCATACACATAGAAATTCTGAATATCAAGAGAATGATGAGACCTGAGACCTCCAAACCACCCTGAGACCTCTGGGTATAGGGCAGTATATAAATACAATAAAATAATAATAATAATAATAATAATAATAATAATAATAATAATAATAATTATTTCAGTTTTGACTTCTTCCTGACATGCTGTTTTCCTATGCTAGAAATGTTTTTTTGTTTGTTTTTAAAGAAAGAGAGTGAGTATGGGGCTTTATTACTTCATTCAGCTGCATGTAGAAAGCTGAATTCTGAGAATAATTATGGTCAGTTGGTGTAATCTTCGTGGAGAAAGGCTTCAGGAGTAAACCCTGAGGAAAAATCTGTGCCTACTGCCTTGCAGGACATCTTTGAGAAAAGAAAAGGCTGAGGAGTAAACCCTACACAGGTTCTCCAGCGATTTGATTGGAAATTGCTTTTTCTGGCAGGCATAGAGCCATGTCATGAAGAACTTCACCAGTTTAATTTCTGCATGTTAGGCTGCTGTTAAAGGCACAGGCACAAACCCGGTAGGAAAAGTAGTGAATCCTAAAAAGGCAATCCAATATACTTTTCTGGGAGCAAGTCCTACTGCATTAGCTTGGCTTACCTCCAAATAAATTTTCCCTGGATTGGGTACACCACTATAGAGAAGACAGAAAACTGTAACTTTCAAGGACACTTATTTTATCATAGGCAGTCTAGTCCTTTTCACCCGTTCTACTATCAGAGGGCTGACAATTGATTTCCATTGATGCAATGAGGATACTCATCGGGGCAGACCACCTGCCGCATCCAAAGTGTATGTGCAGGGACTATAGGTTTGCATCCTAAATAGTTTATTTTTATTCTATTCTATTATGTTTATTGTTGGCATAAAGTTATCTTGGCAGTTTACAATAAATAAGTAAATTTCAATTAAAATTCATAAACTGATGTAATAAAAAACCTTAATAAACAAAACTCATAATTGTGCAGTATATATTGTTATAATAACTATGACAGTATTTTTTTCTGTAATTGTGTGTGTTTATAAATCTCTATGATTATAGCTTGTCACATGCAGGTTACAACTCTTGGGGCATGTAAAGAATCTTAAAAAGCTGATCAAATGAATTGGATTATAGTACAAAGCCAATATCCTTGCTGAAAGTTGAGATTATGAATTCTGTTGAATGCATCACTCAGATTTTTTGGCTGGATAAGGACCAGTAAACTGATACTTAATTATGATAAGATGGAGGCATTTTGGTGGGTGATTCCCATGTCTCAGAATTGGGGAGAGAGTCTATTCTGGATGGAGTTATTCGCCCTCTGGACATTGGAAAGCATAGTGGCTAGGAGTGCCTGTTTCAGTGCTGGTTTGCCAGCTATGGTTGTTCCTTGACTAGAATAGCCTTGCCACGGTAATCCATGTTCTTGTAACTTCACATCTATATTTCTGTAATGTGCTATAAATTTGGGCAGTGACCAAAAAAGATGGTTTCTCCACTGTAGCATCCCATTTGTGGAACGTCTTACTTTTGGAAGACTACTGGTGGCCAACCGTTACAGTATATGCATACCCAATATTATGTCCACAGTATAAGAGAGTACCACATTAGTGCACATGCTGGAAACTAAGCAGGAATCCATTATTTAATAATTAAATAATTATAATAATTATTAAAGGTGGTAGCAGAACACCTGGCTAGGTTTTTGGGGCCTTCTATTTATGGATGCCACATGTCCACAACCTATGCCTCTTGTTGGATACACACTGCAGATTAGTCACACATGTGCTAGACCTTAATTTCTCTATTCTGTTTAAAATGGGAAATAATTATTTAGACCAAGTTTCCTGGTTATGTGACAGCAATGGATCCTACGTTGGGTTCTGATTTAGGGCAGCTCTACACACATGTTTGGGACTTTATTTTTTATGCATTGTATAAACATGTATGTAAAAAAAACACATTAAATACCGGTAGAGCATAAAAATTAGCATCTGCCATATTTAAGGAACAAAACTGGTGTTACAAATCAAAGGCTCAGGAAGGCCTGAGCAAAGAGATACATTTTTACTAGTTAGCAAAACATCAGTACTTGTATTGATGCCTGCTACTTAGAAGGGTGAAATTATTTTACAAGGTGGCTACTACAACAGAGAACTGAAGTTACTTAGTTCAGTGTTTCCCAACCGGTGTTCCGCGGCACACTACTGTGCCATCAGACATTGGCTGGTGTGCCGTGGGAGGGAGGCGGGCGAGTCGGGCGGTGAGGGGCGGTGAGAGGCGGCGGCGGCGAGGATCCGCGTCGAGCCGGGGGCGGCTCCGCGGTGGTGGTGCCGAGCGGCGGGGCAGCGCGTGCAAAAGGGAGGAGCGCGAGACAGCGGAGGAGGAGGAGGCCGGCATGTCCGGGCAGCAGCAGCAACAACAGCAGCAGCAACTCCCGGCAACGGCTCCTCAAGCCCCGCCGCCGCCCCCTCCTCCGCCCGCTATCGCCGCCACCACCACAACAGCCGCCGCCGCCTCAGTTGCCGCCGTCCCTCAGTCCCTCGCTCTGCTGCCTCCTCCCACCCCCAAAGCTTGGAGGTTCCCCGGCAAGGGGGAGGGAAAAAACTTTCACTTTCGTGCGTCCCTCCCGGCGTGACGCTGCGCGCTGACGTCACGGGGCGGGGCTTTAATGGTGGTGTGCCGTGAGATTTTTTTTCAGTAAACAGGTGTGCCGTTGCCCAAAAAAGTTTGGGAAACACTGACTTAGTTCATAAATATATGCAGGATGTGGCATGACCACAAGGTCTTATTCTGATGACCATAATAGGCAGGTAAAAGCGGAAGTGTTCTTTGAGATTTATCCTGGTCCCAAGCTATGTAGGGCCTTGAAAGTCATCAGCAGTACTTTAACGTGGTTCAGTAGCAGATTGACAGTAAATGCAATTCTTTCAGCACTAGTAATATGTGTATGCAGTAAGGTGTCCCACTTAGCAGTCTAGCTGCAGCATGTCATATGATACATAATGACGGAAGACGCTCAGTGCTCTGGAAAAGGAAATCACAGGTGTCATGTTCATCAAGTACATTGTAGCTCTAATTCTCAAAGGTTCTATTCAATGAGGCTTGTGCTGAGGAAATGCATGAAGAATTGGGTTATATAAATATTGATAATTTAATAGTCCAGCCTAATGGCAGACTAATAGGTTCTGTTTCATTAATTTCTATTACAGTTTTACTTAGACTACTGTTCACAGCTCACTACTATTTTATAAAGAATTTCTTCAGCTGTTTTCTGGGAACAAGCATTGCATTTTCAGTATGAATTTAAAAATAAATTGGAGGATCAACTTTCTGCCAATTCTTCACCAGGGATCCTTGAACACCATTGTTGTTTCATTTCCCCAGTACTGAGAAGATGGGACGAAAGAGATTTCCCTGTATAAATCAAGCAATAGTCTCTTTATAAAAAGTGGACATTCTACCTTGCTTGTAGTGTCGTCGTCCCCCTTTGTTCCTTTTATATCTGAATTATCTGGAAAACTGTAACAGAAATAAGGAATATATTTTAGCACTGTGATGGTTTGAAAAATTTACATTTACAAAGTGCTGTGACCTTTGCTTGCTCTCCCACAACTTCAGTGTAGTTCGGTGTTAAAAGTTCAGATTTGTCATGCAGTTAATCCTTGATTAGTATGACAGTGTGTGACATGTCTAAAAAGGTTTGGTTTATAAATAAAAAGTTAATATTGGTCACATTTTAACCCTTTCAGTGTCATCTCTTCGTGGCGAAGAAGTAACTTGGGATGAAACTGATAGAGGCATCTTTAGAAACTCAAACCAAATGATGCCATATCCCACAATGCTTCTCCGCTAGTCTGATGAAGATTTATATCCATAATTTTCCATCAAGAAAAAGGTATGTATTCTTCTTTATGCTATATTGTTGGCTAACTGTTGCATTCATGGTGACTGCTTGAAATCAGAAAACTATGGACTCAGCTACATTAGGGTTTGTTTTTTTTTTAAAAAGGGGTTTTAAATTTGTTATAACACTGTGACACCAGATGGCACTGTAGAGTTCAATCCTTCGGCATGTGATTTGCCATTACGAGCTTTACAGTGTGTTTTCCTGAAACGTTTTTTTGATGTGTCTAGATCCAGCCATGGTCTGTGAGAATGTGTACTGAACATCTTAAAGATACTTATCTTAAGGGATCTAGTATGGTAGCTTCTCCAGCAAAGACAAATATGTGTTGCCAAAGTTCTGCACTTGAACTGGTCCTGATCCAACCTGAGTGTCTCATGTAGACTATTGGTAGCACATTTCATCCCAATGTTGGGAGAAGGGATCCCTTTTCTATTTTACAGTGGTACCTTGGTTTTAGAACAGCTTAGTTTATGAACAACTTGGAAATAGAGCACTGCAAACCGGGAAGTAGGTGTTCCGGTTTGTGAACTTTGCCTTGAAAGCAGAACATGTTCTGCTTCCTGTTGAGTGTGTTCTGTTTGTAAATTGAGTCCGCCACTGCTAATCAGAGGCTTACTGTTGAGTCTGTTGGCTGTTGAGTCCCGAGCACCCACGCAACACAGAGGTGATATTTGGAGCTTTTGCTTTTGCTAGTTTTTGCGTTTTTGTTTTTGTGGCTTTTTTGTTTTTTTTTAACTGTGACTTGTTCTTTGTTTTATGGGACTGACTTGTAACTATGGCTTGTGACTTCATTTTTGTGACTGTGGCTTGTGACTTTGTTTTTGTGACTTGTTTTTGTGACTGCGTGGAACCCAGTTCAGCTACTGATTGATTGATTGTGTGACTGCAGAAATGGATAAAAGCCCCCCATCCAAACAATGACTATCATCAGTGCACGTAAGGGGGGGGGATTAAATTTTTATCATCTACAATACTGTCTTATTTATTTTATAGTGCAGTACATTGATTATTATTAGGACGCGGTTGGCGCTTTGAGTAAAACCTCAGCGCCTAGACTTGCCGATCAGAAGGTCGGCGGTTCGAATCCCCGCGGCGGGGTGCGCTCCCGTTGCTCAGTCCCAGCGCCTGCCAACCTAGCAGTTTGAAAGCACCCCCAGGTCAAGTAGATAAATAGGGACTGCTTACTAGCGGGAAGGTAAACGACCTTTCCGTGTGCTGCGCTGGCTTGCCAGATGCAGCTTGTCACGCTGGCCACGTGACCCAGAAGTGTCTTCGGACAGTGCTGGCCCCCGGCCTCTTAAGCGAGATGGGCGCGCAACCCCAGAGTCGGACACGACTGGCCCGTACGGGCAGGGGTACCTTTACCTTTACATTGATTATTGCTTTCATTTTATGGATCAATGGTCTCGTTAGATAGTAAAATTCATGTTAAACTGCTGTTTTAGGGGTTGTTTTTAAAAGCCTGGGACAGATTAATCCATTTAGCATTACATTCTATGGGAAAGCATGCCTTGGTTTTAGAATGCTTTGGCATTGGAACGGTTTAATCCGGAACGGATTAAGTTTGGGAACCAAGGTACCACTGTACTTTCTTATGCCAGTGGAAAGGCTGAAGCCCATTACTGTACACAGGTCGCTGTGAAGTAGAGTCAGTGCTTTAATCGTGCAACTACAATGAGCTCTACGAAAATGCTACCAAAACACAGAAGGTACAAAATGAAAACTAGCTGAGCAGCAACTTCTGCTAGTGTTTGCTTGCACATATTACAACAACTGACAGAAACTAGCTCTAGCAAGTAGTACTTGTATAATGTGTATGTCTAGCATTTCTATCTTTTAAATCTGCAGTTCCTCTCTTAATTTTAAACAGTCTAAAATCAATGATTACTTACAGAGTCTTTAACAATGGGAGGCTCTATTAAGCATGCAGAGAAAACAAATGGAGCCCATGAATTTAATTCTAGTTTTCATTATCTCTTATTTCTGCATCACACCCTAAAGCTGTTGATGCCTTTTTCATATTCATCCATCTAGCAAAATGTTGAGGAGGTTAGGGATTACAAAGACCAATAAATGCAACAGTTCTGAATTGTAAGTTAATTTAATGTGAAAAGAAAACTCTGCCTATGTTAAATCTGATGATGCACTAAGTTTCTAAAGCACTTCAGATTAGTTTTTTCTCTTGATAAGGCCCAGAAGGGCTGAAAGCATTCTCTGATAATTATTAAATTATTGTTTAAATAGGATAAAATAATGTAATGTGGGACCAAATGATATTAAAGTGAGGAATCTAAACAGCAAATAAACTTAGTTCAGTTTAATGTTTAAGATTCTTGAAATGTTCAGTGTCAGCACTATTGTGTATGTGGCCTCCGTTCAACCTCCTTCCCATTAAGACATTTTATTTCCATTTATCCTATGTCGTATGCCTTTATGTGTGTTTGTACTTTGTTTATCCAAGAGGAAGCTTGGCATTAAAGCCACATATGCACTTCAGTGGGATCTCTGTTTCTACCCACTTTGAATTTTGTAAAACTGGACACAAGGAAGCAGCAGAATGCCTTCCCTGGAGATATCCTTTCCTTGAACTCATAGACCTCTTGGTACTGCTTATTTACCTTAACTGAGCAGATACTTGTGACACTGTTCTGGTTGTATGTTTGTTTGTTTAATTTTTCTTGCTTATAATTTTCTAATTCACTTTAAGATGTAGCAGACTTAGAGTTTGGAAATTGTTGGTGTGTTCTGGTTTTCAAACTGTGCTATGGTGTACTGAAGGGCAGTATTCCCCCACCCTGTGTTATTTAACATCCACATGAAGCTGCAGGGAGTAGAGCATAGTGACATCAGTATGCTGAGGACATGCAGCTCCATTTCTCTGTAATATCTGCATCAGGAGAACTGTGAAAATGCCGGATTGGTGCCTTAATGTAGTGGTGGCCTGGATGAGGGACAGTAAACTTTTAAACTCTGGGAAGATGGAGACTTTTGGGGTAGATGGCTCATGTGTCCAACCAGATAGACCTGCTGCCTGTTCTACATGGGGCAGGTGCATGGCTTGGGAGGAGGTCCGTAGCTTGGAGGTCCTTCTGGGTCAGGGACGCGGACTTATAAAAAATATTGGGGGGGTCCGGGAAAGCTCATGAATAATAAATAAGCTCATGAATATGTAAATAAAGTGGCTCCGGCCCTAAATAGGGCAAGCCACGCCCCCCAGCCAGCCAATCGGCTGGCTGGGAGGTGTGGCCAGTCGGGATTCCCCTGTTCTCGCGGGGGCCAGGAGGAAGGAAATTCCCCCCGGCAGTGCCTTGGCAGTGGCGGTGGTGCTGCGAAGCAGCGAGGCAGGAGCCCCCACCCCCGGGGATTCCCTAATCTCGCGGGGGACGGCCGGGGCTCTCCGACTAGGGCGTGCGGCTGGCTGGCTGGCTGGCGAGGGAGCAGGTGGGGAGGAGGCGGGGGACGGCGGCGGCGCTCTGCTGGAAGGGCGCCCGAGATTATTGGGGGGGCTGAGCCCCCCCAAAAATTTTTTGAGGGGGCTCGAGCCCCCTCAGGCCCCATGGAGTCGGCGCCTATGTTCTGGATGTATCCTTGTCATTAGAGGCCAGGGTGACCTCTGTGGCTAGGAGTGCTTTTTACCAGCTTTGCCTGGTATGGTAGCCGTGTCTGTATCTGTACTGGGATACCTTGGCTACTGCAGTCCATACATTGGTAACCTCAGCTCTGGATCACTGTGATCTGTGTCGAGTGGGTCTGTGTTTGGGCCTGGTCTGGAAGTTCCACTTTTGGGAAGTTCTACTCTTGGGTAGAAAATACAGAAAGATCGCTTCAAGCACGTGCTCTAAGCTTGGAGCAAAGCTTAGGCACATCTTCCTTGGTCAGTTACATGGTGCTGAGAGAGGGAGGGAAGTAAAGAGAAGCAGCTTCGCTTCTTCCCTCACAGAGAAGAGAAGTTGTGACTTTGCAGAGTCTAGGAGCAGACCTCTCTGGCCTTAACCCCTTCATGCACTGTCTAGCACTTATGCATAGCTATGTTTGAATGCAATTTCCACCATCAGGTGTGAGGTTCAAAGTGCAGCCTTATTCCACCTGGACATGAATGCGTCTTGCATGTGTGAAACAGGTGCATAGGGCTGCTGAGGCCAGCGTGACGACAAATAAATTTTCTACCAAATTCCAGAGTAGTAAAGAAAAGAAAATAATATTAAGCTGTCAGCATCATTGGTCTATAGAGAATGAAGTACCATTTCAAAAAACTCTCTTCACTAACATGTTCTAATAATGACCTGACTGAAATAACTTTTGCAGGTAGTTTTATTCCCCCCCCCCCAATTTGGGTACTAGATATAAAACTGAAATAAACAGATATAAGAACTAGGATCTGCTACTGATAGTTTATTCTGAGGTTCCTGATGTATATCTATGCCAAAATATTTTATAAATACTCAGTTTAATGAGGCTCACCACAACTGTGTGCCTCAAAAGCTGCTGTAGCATTTGGTTTCAGGGAATGGGACCTGACTTTTGCTTTGTTTCCCTACCACATGCTTTTTATCAGGTTGTTGAAATAGTGTTCATGCCATTAAACAGAACCACTAGTGTGACCTTGTTCTAGAGGGGTTAAAAGGAATGAATAGCTTTCTAAGCTTGATTCAATTTCCTTTTTGTGATCATTTTTGCATAAGTGACCATTATAATGTTTGTGCACCAGCTTTTTGTATCTACGATCACACCTGGTGTGCATTTGGTAATGTAAAGTGATACAAAAGCAAATAGATTTTCCCTGAGCATTGAATAGGTAGTGTTTCTTTCCATGCTGAACCTTTCCAGTGTGAACCTCAGATACATTAATAACATCAATTTAGTGTCGTGTTTTAATTTTTAAACATTTGTTGCCATGTACTCAGTTTTTAATAAATGCATAAGTGGATGCAATATTTTGAGTTTTATATCATGAATTCAGCACCCTCAACAGATTCTTCAGACTTCAA